TATCTTTAACCATTTCATTTCCTCCACACTTGATGGGATTCTTCCATACCAAACTGTCTTCATGTGCTTCAAGCCGATGAGAGCATTGAGTGAAAGGAATAAACTGTTCCATAGTCATGAAGATTTCGTATAGTCGCTGGACACATATAGTCAACCTTGCACCGATGTCCAGGAAGGTCAGCCCAGGCAGATGTCGATGCTTGAAGATCAAATCCACATTGTCAATACTTGTCAAAGCCTTGACGAGTTTTGTCAGTTTGAACCCTGATTATCCCCTTTCCCATGAGCGTCAATGTGGGATATAAACACACCACTCCATACGAGGCTATATAGTTCATAACCAGAGTAGAATGAAACTCTACAATAGGTTGAATGGCAGAGCTTGTGCAGGATATGATAACATTGATGGTCCGATTGCTTCAAGGATGCTTGAAGAGCAGAACATCGAGAACACTGGCCATGTCATAAGCTGTGTCTTTGTGGTCGTCATTCTCCTTCCATCCTCTCTCCACAATATATGCCTTGAGGATATGCATCCACTGCACGGAACATAGATATCGAGATCTTGAGGGATAAATGTGCCATGAAAGAAGACAAGGAGAGCATAAGAGCCGGAGATTATAGCGTGGCTAATACCCATGACCGCAAGGAGAATGTTGGGAGGTCCCAAAAGATAGCTTGCTGCGATTTCTTCAACCGTGATGTGCGAATCCTGCTGAATGGCATCAAAAGCAGGATTTCCTGCTCTGTCCTCATCATTGCTATATGCTTCACATAGGGCTTCTATAGGCATCTGTGAGCATTTGAATAGCGACTTTAGATGGGAGACTCACTGCTGTTTGGCGACATTTCTCAATGTGCTGGCAAGAGGTAGAGAACAACTTGACAATTGCCTAAGGAGTATTTTGCAGAAAGTATTTCTGATGTTGGTTTCTCCATTTGGCTGAATTAATCTCCACCCTTGACCTGGAAGTTGATTTTCTTGAAATTTTAATTCAAATATATGGCTCCTCCAACCATATCCAATTAAAGCCCTTCTATATTCTACTCAATTCTCATCCGCCAAATCTTACTCTCCGTCTCCTTGACCTCCTCATCCTGATATCCTACTTTCCGTTTAAGTGTGGCTGATATTATGCTCTGGTTCTTGACTCGATTTTGGGCAATGGTGGCATTCTATGTTTGCATTTAGTCAGCTATATTGGTGAATGACATCTGCAGTTCTTGAGCTTACCTGGAGTGGTGAGCTATCAAGCAAGGTCAATGCCCGCATAACTATGAGCATCTTGTACTTCTGCTCCTTTAAACGAATGACTACAAAGGATACTTGAGCCTCTGCTATATCTCCTATATGAAACTTGATTGGATCGATGGCCTCGTATCTGAATAAAAAATCAACACGATTAGTCCACCAGCAGAACTTATGGGCTATGTTACTAACCGTTGTTTTTCACCCTCCTGATAGCGCTCATAATACTCCACAGAATTATCTTTGGTGTGGACCAGAGTTCCATCAGTAGTGCATGCTGCAAGAATGCCATCAGGATCAATGGCAAAAGAGAAGGAGATGATTTGGTCTGGAGATGCCTGAGAGTGAGGAGTGAAATAGCGGTTTGCCATATCGATAGTAAGATACCCAGCACTGCTTGAAGCATTCCACAGTTCAAGAGATCCTTCAGGAAAATGGCAAGCAAAAATATTATGGATTTCTTCAATGCATCTTATTGCATCAGCAAAGGATTCCGATCCAAAACCTGTCAAGGCTGCTGACTGGCAGAAGTATGCCTGCTGACAGGGTTCGCTATAAGCCCTGTCATAAACCATTAATTCATATATGCTGCAGTCTGTTTGCTTACATCTTGAATGGCCACTTAATAGGAGGCATGGTGCTGCCAGTTATAACACCCTGGACTCGCAAGACAACTTTTTCAATTCCACCATTGTTGTCCAAGTAAGTCAGCTTCCAGCATCGAGGATATTCAGTATATGTAGGCTGTACAAAACGATGCAGCCCCTCCTCCTAAATGCTGTCAGTGAGTTGCACATCTATTTTCTCTGAAACAAGAGCACATACCATGTCAAACTTGCAGAGCTGAAGATGGTTTGGCATGCATTCTTTGGACATTTTTTCCAGAGATGTTTCTGTGTAACATCTTTCAGTCCTCCATCTACCAAATCAATAGACAACTTACTAGCTGCATTTATGTCATAGTGTTCATCCATGGCAGAAATTGGAAGGTGGGGAGTCTGAATGAGCAGCATCAGTGGTTAATATGAGAAGAGGATTTGATGCCCTTACAAGTATTGATGCAGGGTCATCAGTCATATATTAGCCACTTGTTTAGCGTGTTTTGCCGTCTCCAATTTCTGCGGTCCTGCACAGTTTGCCATTTATTGGTGCCTCAATTTGTTCATAAATTTGGGGTGAACCCCCATTGAAATCTGCTGACATTCAGAGCCTGGGTTCTATAGCAACAGAGAGATATAGCACCACTATTGCTTGTGGCTGTAGTCTTGCTCTTAACCACAAATCATCCTGCTGTTCATTGCTGCCAGTCCTCTATTCGATATGCCCTGCCAGTCTCATCTGTCACCTAATTTGTGGAGAAACTCCTCTCTGGAACTCCTCAATATTGGCTCTGTCAATGCCAACAGCTGTCAGTTAGTGCTCGCACGCCTGGAGGTGCTTGCCACCAAACTTGGTTTCAGCGTTACTGAAAGGGGTATGTGTCGATGTCATCCGGCCTTCAAAGTGTAGCCTTACATTTTGCTTTATAGCGCCATCCTCCATTGTTCTCCAGAACAATTTAGACCATCTATCACTTGAGTTAACCCACTCAATCCTCAGCCACCTCCCTTTCAATGGATTAAAGAGTTTTGCTCTTACATCCCACTGCACTGCTGCTCAAGCTGCCGCATATCAGCAATTTTGTGTTCAAAGAGTTCTGGCGTCCTTTGGTCTCAATTTTTGGGATGTTCAGCCTTTGCTCCAGCGCTATGGTGCCATTATTTCAGGTTCCTGCGCTCTTCTCACCACTTTGCCTGCATCCATGCACTTCAAACCAAGGAACATCGACTTTGTGGTTCCCTATCACTCTGAAAGACAATTTGCACATGACCTCCTTTGCAACACCAGCTACGCCTTCGACTCTCTCTTGATCTTTACATTCAACTATGCCATCATCAATTCTTCCGTCTACCATGATGAAAGGGGACATAGAATCCAAATTCATATGGCTCGTCCCACCTGTTCCCCAATCCAAGCCATCTTCTATTCATCTTCCTTCTACGCCATGAATGCAATCACCTCATCTGGCATATTCTCAGCCTATCCGAAGCTTTCAGCCCAAGGACTTGGGCTCTCAAACCCTGCCATCCTATTTTCCAAAAACAGTTTGCGTACTGACTTCTATCATTTGCTTTCTCAGGTTATAGGGCCTTTTTAAAGGACTCATTCTTTATCAGCCCAGGACTTAGGCAGAATTTTCATTCATTGATTCACTCTTCAACACTGCAGCAAAAACCTTCTAAAAAAGGAAATTTTGATCAAAACAATAGAGATTCTTTGGGGCTTTCTGAATCTTTTTAGATCATGTGATTAGCTTCATTTCTCATGGAGATATTAATGATTTACTGTCAAATTTTCACAAAAAAGTGTCCTGTTTTTTTTTTTATTTTGCATTTTTCTCAATGAGGAATAAAGCTAGTCACATGATGAGACCACATATAGGCTTGCCAAGACATTCTCCATCTTTTATAATTTTTGCCTTATATGGCAGTTTGTTCCCATGGATCACATGTCCACACTCCAGACTTGAAATTCTCTCAAAAATGAATTTCTGGTGTCAGATTAGATTAGATTAGATTAGTCTGCTTATTCAGCATCCTGCCCTCAACTTGGGCTTGCCAGCTCATCACTTTCCCCCAATCTTGTTTTCCTCTTTCCTCCACAACTAATGCAGCTATCCCTCCAGTTCTTTTTGCTATGGCTTCAGGCCACTCTCCTCTATCTTCTGATAGCATTCTCTACTCTATCAGGGTCAGAGATGCTCCAGAAAATCTCAAACTCTGTTGATCTTTATCAAAATCAAGCTAATCAGGCCTGTAAGTTGTTTTTTCAGAAGTTTTCTGACTCAAGTATGATGTTTCTCAATTAGATCCTGCATATTCCTACTCTACTGGCCTGTCAGAAGGTATGATTTCAGCTCTTTTCAGTATTCTAGCTTAATTTTGCTCTTTTTGAGAGATTTGCTGATCAATCTTTTTACTTTCTTTTAGATACTACTTTTTCTGATGCTTCTGATCAGAAAAACATTGTTTCTGACTATTCAGGTGAGTTTCCATATCAGAATATTTCAATTTCTCTTGCTAAAGCTCAGTTTTAGAAAAACACCAAAAAATTAATTTCATTGTCTCACGTATGTCTAATCATTATTTTTTAAATGCATTCAAGCTCATATTTAGCTTTAGAATCAATTGGTCTAGGTGGTATTCTCCAACAAGAATACTCTCATAGTCTTCAACAAGATTTATCTCATATCAAGTCATTTCTACAAGTTTATTCTCATGTTGATATTCCTTTACAGGTTCTATCTTGTGTCAATATATCTTTACGAGTACCATCTCATATCAAGTCAGTTCTATATTCTTTATTGTATGTAAAGTCATATTTACTAGATTTATTTTGCATCAGTGTTGATAGTGGGACTCTGTCTCCGAATTTTGAAAACCGAGTTAGAGGGACTTTGTCTCTGAGTAGAGTTGAACAAAATGTTTATGATGATCAGTTTCAAAATTTGAAATTGACTATGAAATACAACAATGAAATTTTGATCAATGGATTTAAAAAGTCAAGTTGCTTGAAGCAAAATATGTCACATCCCATTCCTGAACCCATTGTTCCATTGTCCCATTGTTCATTGTTCTGGTTCATCAATAGGCTTTCCCTTCATTGTTCTATTCATTATTGTCCTTATTGTTCTCTGTCATTGTTCTGCTGGCATTCATTACATAACCTAGATCTTCTCCATTGTTCTCAATAGTATAAGTAGCTAGGTAGTGTACTGGATTCCCCAGCTTGAATCTCAACCTTGACAACCCCTCTGCTCTATTGTTCATCCTCTGTCTCCTGGGCCTTGGCCAGGATGACTTCTTCTTGTCTCTCCTCTGTCAAGACCAAGGCAGTTCCTGTAAATTGGGGACAACCAGATGATGTATAGGGGCACAGCACAAGAGCATGCTGAGGCCAAGTCCCCCCCTCTGTTCAGGTCATTACAAAATATTAATGAATGTTATCCAGATTCAACTTATTGGTCAGAACTATATCAAAAGTTGTCTTCATCTTTTATTTTGCAATTATATCTTCATCTCATTAAATCAATTTTGAATATGTTTGATCTTACTACAAGAGATTCTCTTGTATTTGTTAAATGTCAATTAATCAAACTTCAATTATCATGTAATTTTCAATATTGCCATGATTATATTGCACTTTCAAGTCGACTAAGCAATTATAATACCCATTTGATTTATCCACAGTCTTTTCAGAAAGTTATAGTGTATTCACACATCTGTTTCTTATATACTATATTTCTACCCTTTAAACAGCTTGTAATTGCATTTAAGCTTGATGCAAATCAAGCTATCATCAGTAAACCTTCTATTCCTTATTTATTTGGAGGTGGTTCTATATATATATATTCAGTGCAAGTGAACTTTCAGAATATTCTGAGAAAGTACAGGATAGTCAAGAATATTCTTTCAAAGACTATATTACTCAGAAAGTTCTAGATGACAATCTTTCTAAGCTTTCAAGCTGTTTAATTATTGAAAATATTCCACTATTTGTGATCATTCAACATTTAAATATTTAATCACTCAAAACAATTGCATCAGGTCATAATATTAAGTATAACTCAAAAATAAAACTTGTGGACTTGCAAAAATTGATTCTTATACATGATTGCAATAATTGTTCTAGTTATTATTCAATATTCAATATTCATTCTTTGCTAGTAAAAAGAGCAAAAATGAAGGAGCAAAATCTTGCCCAAGTAAAGAAGTATCAAGCATTACATTCTGAAACATATAAAAAAGACCATTTGAACACAGTCAAAAAATACACCAGTCTAAGTCCAGAAAAGACTAGAGTAGAGAATTTAAATTCTGTGAAGTGCTATCAAAATAAAAATACAGAGTCATATCATATAAGTAATCTTGAATCTGTAAAGAAATATCAAATGAAAATAAGTAATCAGTTTCCACCAATACCACTATCAAAAAATCTTCAACAAAAAGTTGTAAACAGTTTTCGTCAAAGCTCATCTATTTCAATGTTTGAAGAGACGGTTGTGCAGTTTGTGGAAAACTATGAGTGATGATATACTTGATGATCTTGATGAAGACAATAATAATCAATATAGTGGAGAAGACTTTGGTGATGATGCACCTGGTGAAAAATATGAACAGAATAGATATATGAAACCTGGAAGAAAGGGCCAGAAAGATATTGAAGACATGATAGCAGTAGAGACTGGAATTACTGATGCTGGATGGATGGACCAGTCACCCAATGGACTTGATAAAATTGACAAAACACCTGTTGAGCCAGAAGTAATTCAGAAAGGGTCCAGATGGAAAGCCACTGTTGATGAAGAAAGACAGAAGCTTCTGGCTGAGAGAGGAAAGACTATCTCAAAGTCTGCTCAAAAATCATCAGACCCAAATGAAAATAATGTCCAAGTGGTTGACCAGTCATATCTTTTCAAATCCTTCAAAGCACAACACAAGTCTGATCAGAAACTGATTGATGATACTGTTTATAAATTTTCACTGAATAATGAGCAAGAGCAAGCCTTTAGAATAGTTGCTAATCATGCTGTAGAGCCTAAATCTGGACAGTTGAAAATGTACTTGGGTGGTATAGGTGGAACTGGAAAATCACAAGTCATCAAAGCCTTGGTGGATTTTTTCAAGTCAAAAAATCAGTCACATCGGATAGTTGTTCTTGGTCCAACTGGTACTTCTGCAGCTCTTATTAATGGGTCTACCTATCACTCATTTTTGGGAATTAATCCTGGTGGAAATACAGCCTCAAAAATTGCCCAACTTCAAGCTCAACTTGAAGGTGTTGAGTATATATTTATTGATGAAGTCTCAATGATGTCTTGTATGGATATTTATAAGATTTCTGCCCAGTTAGCCAAAGCTTTGAATGCATTTGATTTGCCTTTTGGAGGAATGAATATTATTTTTGCTGGTGACTTTGCTCAATTGCCTCCAGTTGGTGGACAATCTTTGTTTAGTGAATATGTTGGAACTTCAGATACATTCTGGACTAACACCAGATCATCAGAAGGCTGCTATTGGAAAGGCTCTATGGCATCAGGTTACTACTATAGTAATACTTCGACAGAATATGAGACAGACTAGTCAAACTCCACAAGATGCAGCTTTGTGAACTGCCTTAATTAATATGTGATATGGTAAATATACACCAGCTGATATTGCATTTCTGAGAACTCTACAGGCTGGAAAGCAACTAAAACAGCCCAAAGTATCTGCCAAAGAATTCAGAAATGTTGCTGTTATATGTGGTCATCATACAGAGAAGGATCAGATCAATCAACTCAGATGTCAGAGATTTGCAGAAGAGACTGGCCAAAGACTTACACATTTCTATTCAATTGACAAGTGGGGCAAGGAGAAAGATCCAAGTACAAAGACCAAGTGGGGTCAGTTAAAAGCTGCTTCCAAGTCTAAACACATTTCTAATGAGATTGATCCAGATATGCCAGCCATGTCTGCTAGAAATCTATATCAGATACTGGATTTTTACAAGGTATGCTTATATGTCAGGACTGTGATTTTACAGTCCACCTATGGAGAGGCCTGTGCCAGATGTGCTGGGGCTCGTGGCTGTGGGCAGGGCATGTCAACACATGCAAACAACACAGGAAACAGTGCTCGGTACACTGTTCCTCGTCATTTGGGGTGCTCCTGCCCCCTTTTTTGACAGGGAAAAGGCGCCAACGATGAGGACATATATTTCCTTGTCGTTCTGCACCATTTCCCCTGCCATCAGGGGGCAGGATAGGCTGGATTAGGAGGGGGTGTTCTGGATGATGCGGCATTTTCTCGGACACCAGTTATTTTTAGAAACATCTGTCACTGGATTTACCTGCCCACAACTCCTGAGCATTCCCAGAATAGCTCAGGCTAGATAATGCTCACCATCATCCATTACGATGTCTGGCGAGCTCGGGCAATCTCACAGGGCACACAAAAAAATGAGAAAAAATTGCATTAAATTATAATACAATAATACAGGATGCGGGTGACCTTTCTCACCACCCGCTGTGAGATACAAAGAAAATGAGCAGAAACAGTGCCTCACAAATGCACCGTTCTGCTCTTGGGGACCTCCTGGCTGTCCTCATCGTGCACGAACCACCTGCTGCCTTGTCCATGCCAATCGCCGGCACCTTTGTCTTTGTTGTCGCATCGTCTTTGTCGTTGCTCGTTGCTCTTCGTTGCGCCGTACTCGTACTTGCACTGCGGCCGTCGTCACACCATACTCGTTGTCAGGCCATGTGCTTGTGTTCATCATCACGCTCGCCAGGCAAGTTCTTGCACTGTAGTCGTCCTTGTACCATGGCCGTTCGTGCTTGTCGCCTCGCCATGCTGGTCAATGTGCTGGGAGATTGGCCGTTGTGCTGCTTGCGCTCACTCTTGTTGAAGGGGGGAAGTGGGTGAGAGTGGGACGACTCAGAGACAGAGGGGTAGGCGGAGGTGGAGGTGGGCGAGAGGGAGACAGACGGCTGGGGATGGCATGTGCGAGTGGCCGAGGGCGAGTGAGTGGGCATGGTCAGCATGATGCCACCGCCGTCATCCTCACCCACCTGTTCGTGTTCATCTGTTCTCATTGTCATTGTTGCCGTCTCATCACGCCTGCCCACCTCATGTCCTCATGCTCGTTACCCACTCGTGCACGTCTGATGACCCAACCTGTGTGTGCCTGACCGACCACTCCCACTCACCCATTGCTCATCATTCTCTGTTGTCCTTGCAGCCGTCCTGCTGTCGCATTTGTACCTCCGCCATTATGTACTCCCCCACACTGGCCATTGTGTTGGTTCCACTGTTGTGTTGCCGCGAAGACATGGGTCAGGAAGAGGGTGTGGGCGAGGGAAGTCCAGAGGTGGCTTGGAAGGCAAATCGCCACCCCCCCATCCGAACGTTACACAACATCTTGGAGATGTCATGGCTCTGAAGATGGGGGAGAAAAGGAGGCAGGGCAGGGGAGAGGAGAGGAGAGGCAGAGGCGAGTGTGGGAGGTGGGTGCTAGGACAGAGAGCAGCACCCACATCCCTGTTGAGGGGAGGGGTGAGGGGAGGGTGAGCAACGAGGGTGGCAGAGGCGGTGTGGGTGCTCATACTTGGCCCACATCCCTCCTCGAGGGAAGGCGGGTGTAACATGCGAGTTTGGGTGTCATAGGACGTTGTTGCCCCCCCCGCGACAGAGTACAATGTGAGAGGGACGAAGTATTGGCGAGCCAGGGGGTCGTCGATGCTGGTGATGTGCTGCTAGGGGTTAGGGGGTCGACGAACGGTTTGCGGGTGAGGGCAGGGTGCGTGGGGTCGAAATTCAGATGCCCTGCTACAGTGGGACATTGAGGGAGGGTGGGTGTATGAGGAGGCCCAGCCCACATCCTTAGAGAAGGGGAGGGGTCGAGTCGAGAGGCCGTGTCATCCGTGGTGCAAATGCGTTATCCTGTTGCAAAACAACTTAGTTAGTCAGTAAAATCATTAATAAGTACTTGACCTACCTATTCCCAATGCTTCTGGGGCTGGATGGGCGACCGGCGAGGTGCTGGGAGGAGGGGATGGGTGTCGAAGACGATGTTCAACCGTTGCTGATCATCGTTGATCGTGTTTCGGGAATTGCTGTATGCCGTCCAATTGGCTGTTGAGCTCTCAGCCCGAGCCCCATCTTCCGTGTCTTGAGCAACGGGATGTTTCTGTGCTCACACACAGTACATTCAGTCACATAATAAGCATCGGATATTCTTTTCTACATAAATGACAATGTGTATCTAAATTTTTGGAAAGATACTGCTACAATTGAGCTCATAACATGGCACACACAATGCGTGCGTGGTGATTTCGGGCTTGTGCAAAGACTTACCAGCATGTACAGGAATAAAGAATTAATGAAATGGGACTACTTGCATCAGAATCTCAATGTAGCATGCCTCCTCTACATTACTTAGGCTACCCCCAAAGTGTGGCTGTCTTTTAAATGTTGCGATCTCCAAATGCACATTTCAACTGGTAAGATTTTCATTGAAACTTAGAGTGCCACCACTGCACTTACATATCTCTGCTTGTCTAGACACATTTATGCCATACAAGCTATAGAAATAGGTTCTAATAAATCTGTAAATAATCTCTGTATACTTATTTTATGAAAATCTCGTGCTAATGGCCATTGAGGACGTCACCAACGTCTTGCTTGAGATCTCGTGTCGGCGGTCCGGTGGTTCCAGCCAATGAAAGCATGCGGTGGAGTTTGCCGAAACGACAATCAACGATGTTGAACATTGTTGACTGCTGCTTTCGACCACCACCTGCAATGCCCCAATGTCTGGAGGCACAATACGAAGCTCGCGGTCGCCACATATATACGTATCGCTGTTTATAATCATTAAAGCTGCTTATTTATATTTTCTATCACCGCAAGGTGCTCTCTCCCATGTACAGCACTGCCCACCCCGCCAAATGCCCTTCCCTTTCAGCAAGGATATGGCTGGTGTTTGCGGCGGCGTCCACCTCTTACCTTACTCCCTCGCGTGACCCTCCAGTTGCCTAACCCCGCCCTCACTCGCCCTCAGCGCCGCACAGCCCGCTCTACCTACGCCGTGTGCCCCTTCTCTTCAACAAGGGATGTGGGCCGGCCTTTTCGCATTTCTGCCTACATCCCTCCCCCTCCTCTACTCCCTTGTATGGAACCTCACCCTCAACACGTCACCCTTTCCCACCCTCAACGATCTCGATGCCCCACAACTCACTCCATCTGCACCGTGTTGCCCTCCCCTTCAATGAGGGATGTGGGTCAGTTTCTGCTCAAGTACACACCCCTTGCCATGCCTGTCAACATCTGAACCCCTGCCCTTGTACTGGTGAGACTGAAGCGGAGATGGTAAGAAGGGTGGTACCCTTTTGCCTTTGCCGTCTCGCCGTCTCACTCTTGAATACACCACTGGAACGAACATGAGCACCCCCGCCACGATGAATACAACAGCAGGAGGAGCAGGAGGAGCAGGTAGTCCCACCCAGCTTGGAAATCTGAATCGACAACCACACGATCAGGACAAGCACAAGCACGACGGGCACTAGCACAACGACCAGGACCTGCATGAACGACGATGACACCACTGGAAAATCACCTCGTTATGAGCACACAAGCTAAGGATGAGCATGACGGGCATATGGGCGCAGGGGGCCAACACAGGGGCCATGTGAATGAGCTGCGAATTCCCCGAGGTGTGCCCATGCACACACTCTCTCCTGATAGCCAGCTGACCCACCTTCCGCACCCATCCAGCACCGTCGGCATCGTCTGGGGCTACCCAGACGATGCCGATATATGTCTTCCTCGATATCCCATGGACATCATCGCGATCAGTGCCGTTTCGTCTATGACCAGCCGCCTTCCTCAATGCCACCTTCCTCAATGCCACCGCCCGCCTGTCCACCTGTGTCCACCCCCTCTTGCATTGTAGACAGAGCCACAGTGTTCAAGTGACATTGTGTAATGTCATACAATGGATTTGGGGCTGCGAACGGGGTAGCAGGGATGGAACAAGGCCAGTAGTCCCCAGACGATGGCAGGTGAAGCAGCAAGGCTGACCAGTCCACGGCGGCAGGGCGATGAGGAAACCGAGCACGATGAATCACAAGATGACGACATGATCATGACGATAACGAGCATGCGAGCGAGAACAACGTGAAGAGGCCAAGGAGAATGACAGCGGGAAGCCGGAAAGTGCAAGGACCATGAGTGGGCGAGGATTGAGACCAAGGCCGAGGATGTGGAAAGGTATGTGGTTGCACATCCTCTCTCATGACCACCCCTCAGCCACCTTCTGTGCCCCCTCCCTCCCTTCTCCATGACCACAGTACAGCCATTTCCCACCGCCCACTTCAAGTAAACTCTGCCCCTGTTTCCTCCTTGCAACCCACCTCCTTGGCCCCCTCTTCCATTGTACGCGGAGCCACATTGTCCAAGAGACAGTGTGTAACATTGTACAGTGGATTTCAGGCTACAAAAGGAGTTGTAAGGGCAGAGACGGAGCAACACCAGCGCAGTGTGAAGGCAGGGACTGCAACCCACCATGAAGTGAGGGCGAATACGAGCACCACGGAACAACAAGCAGCACGGAATGACGATGGCCGAGGGCTAGGACGTCACCAACGACCACAGCACGACGATGACCAAGGCATTAGGATCCCAATGGCACAATGACGACCCCGGTGCAAGGGCAAGCACGGTGCAGAGGCAAGCACAACACACCGTGAGGCTAGCGGAAGCATAAGCAGCAGGAGCAGCAGGGGTGAGCATGACCAATCCCCCACAGCAGAAACGGCGCACCGTCAACGCACTGTTTCTGCTCATTCTCTCCGTGGGCTGCGCCATACATTGATTTTAATTACAATTTAATATAATTTGTTCTGCATTTTGTGCGTATGCCCGAGCTCACTGGACACGAGCATATCTAAAAATAACTGACACCTGAACAAACGCCACGTCATCCAATACACCCCATCCCAATCCAGCCTATCCCACCCCCTGACGGCAGGGGAAATGGTGCAGAACAACGAGGAAATATATGTCCTCATCGTTGGCACCTTTTCCCTGTCAAAAAAGGGGGCAGGAGCACCCCAAACGATGAGGAACAGTGTCCGAGCACTGTTTCCTGTGTTGTTTGCATGCATTGACATGCCCCGCCCACAGCCACGAGCCCCGGCACATCCGGCACAGGCCTCTCCATAGGTGGACTGTAAAATCACAGTCCTGACATATAAGCATACCTTGTTAAAATACAGTATGTGATATATTCTCGTGGCTTATAGAAGTGGATATGCAGCAAAATATATGGAAACTTAGACCTGGAGTTACAGATAACTTTGCTGGCAAATTATCTTTATGTCTTGGCATGCCTGTTATGATTAGAAATAATGATGCAACTGAACTCTGTATTACCAAAGGTCAAGAAGGCTTTGTAGCTAGCTGGCAAGCAGAGAAGGGACCCCATGGCAAGCGAGTTCTTGATACACTTTTTGTAAAATTGGATAAACCTGCAAAAACTATTCAACTTCCAGGACTTCCTGAAAATGTAGTACCATTAATGAGGGCTACTAAAACTATTCCTTGTAAATTCCCAAGTGATATTATTGAGAGTATTGAGCATCAGCAACTACAAGTTTTGCCCAACTTTGCAATGACTGACTATGCAAGTCAAGGAAAAACTCGACCATATAATGTTGTTTGTCTTGGAAGCTGCTATTCACACATGTCATACTACACCTGTCTGTCAAGGAGTGCTACTGCTGCTGGAACTATCATTCTTCAAGGATTTATGCCCAAGTTTATTACTCAAGGTTGTTCAGGGTATCTCAGACAGGAATTCCGTGAGCATGAAGTACTTGATGAAGTGACTAGACTCAGATTTATTTTTTATTTTTTTATTTTTTTTGGATCAACAATTTATATAGCGGTGCTCGATGGCAGGCCGCTCGCTATCTACAAACACGCACGCTGCACAACCTGGATACTAAGTAAACTACTAAAAGACAACCGCCCCCCCAACCAAGACCCTTTGGGCTCAAACGCCAAAACTCCCCAGAGGGCAACCCACCTCGCGAAAACAGTGCATCGGGATAAGGGGAGGAAACCATCGAGGTTCCGCTATGCTCCAAAGTCGTTGATTGCTGTTCAGAGGTCGCGCAGCACGAATGAAATAAGAACAGCACCACCCGGGAGGTGGCAGGGTGTCTTGAGGCCAACAAGCCAGAGATGCGCCTGCCCGAGACCAGACGCAGAAAGTTAGCAGCGCCGCAACCCGCTATAATAGCGGCCGCAAGCGTGAAAAAGTGGAGTGGGCGCAGGTCGCCGAACCCTAAGGTTTGTGGTGTTAATTCACCCTAAATCCCCCTAAAGGAGGAATAACCCCACCTGCAACGATCATCCGACCCCCAAAGGGTCCCGGTTGAAGCCAAACGCCGTAGGGTTGTACTTCATAAACGATGCAATATCCCCGAGAAAACGGGGATAGTGTACAGAGTATCTATCGTGGCAGCGAAAGAGGACGTGCTGGCGAGACTGCAATACAGCCCTGCAAGTGCAGCTGTGAGGCTCATTAATCTTGAAGCAACGGTAATATGCTCCAATGGGCACGTGGCCAGTTATACACCGGCAAACGCGAGCGAACTCAGTGATACTGTGTCCGAATGTTGAAAGCCAAGGTCCCCCATTGAGGTACGATGGCTGTAGCGGCCGCCTGTCAGGCTGTTGAAGCTCTAAGAATTCAGAGCCACAATAAGTTGGATCCTGAAAAGTGGAACTCCATGAGTCGAGGACTGAGTGCGTTGCTTGGGAGCGAAGCGCATCTATGGAATTGTCCGTCTTGCGACGCCCAACCCTGACTTTAAGTTTGGTGATGTACTTGTGTGCCTCACCATGGATATCCCACCGCAGAGCAGATGGAATGTAGACAAAGGTGATGCGGCGGAGATCATCCACCTCGAACCACCCTTGGAGTGCGCGACAAACTGCCAGACTAAAAGCCTGCCCAGAGTGTACGGAGGGGTCCATGGCTCTGTGGGCCAAGCCCATAGAGTCAGTAAAGACCATAATATGTTGGCAGTTTGCCTGCTTGACAGCAAGGCGCACTGCACACGAATGGCATTGAGTTCCGCATCTGGGGCGGTAACTCTGCCAGAGACATAGTGAGTCCTTTCGAGCTCGCGGTGTCCCTTGTAGATGATGGCAGCTGAAGCTGCCTGATACTGGTTGGACTGAGGGACAGAGCCATCAGTTGCAGCCAGTACTGTTAGTGGGTCGGCCCTCGCTTTTGCGATGAGCTCGTCTAGATATGGGCGCCTATCCTGGGCAGGGTCACGCTCGTCAAAATGGAGACGGTCCGCATAGCGGTCCAGTAGCCGATCGCCTGGGCGAGCTTCGGGCGCACAAGGCTTGAAACTCTCAGTTAGGGTGTGGATGTGCTCGTCCACCTCCATAACGGTGCTCTTGACCTTCTCTCGCATAGCTGGGGTCATCAAGGTGGCTGAGCGGGCATGGGATGGGGGGACCTTGGCTTTCAACTTTTGGACACAGTATCACTGAGTTTGCTCGTGTTTGCTGGTGTGTAACTGGCCACGTGCCCATTGGAATGTACTACCGACGCTTCAAGATCAATGAGCCTCATGGCTGCACTTGCAGGGCTGCTTTGCAGTCCCGTCAGCACATCCTCTTTCGCTGTCACGATAGATATTCTGTACACTATCCCCGTTTTCTTGGGGATATTGCATCGTTTATGAAGTACAACCCTACAGCGTTTGGCTTCAACGGGGACCCTTCGGGTGTCGGATAATCGCTGTGGGCGGGGTTATTCCTCCTTTTGGAGGATTTATCAGTGAATTGACACCCTCGAACCTTAGGGTTCGGAGACCTGCGCCCACTCCACTTTTTCGCGCTTGCGGCCGCTATTATAGCGGGTTGCGGCGCTGCTAACTTTCTGTGTCTGGTCTCGGGCAGGTGCATCTCTGGCTTGTTGGCCTCAAGACACCCTGCCACCTCCTGGGTGGTGCTGTTCTTATTTCATTCGTGCTGCGCGACCTCTGAACAGTGATCGACAACTTTGGGGCATAGCAGAACCTCGATGGTTTCCTCCCCTTATCCCGATGCACTGTTTTCGCGAGGTGGGTTGCCCTCTGGGGAGTTTCGGTGTTTGAGCCCAAAGGGTCTTGGTTGGGGGGGCGGTCGTCCTTTAGTGGTTAACTTAGTAACCAGGCTGCGTAGCGTATGTGTTTGTAGATAGCGAGCGGGCTGCCATTGAGCACCACTATATAAATTGTTGATCAAAAAAAAAAAAAAAAAAAAAAAAGGGGCATGGGGTGCAACCTGCTTGAGGAGTCTTTCACCCATCATGGAGCGAAGAGGGTGGTGACGCAGTACACTGCACGCGTTGCCAACTTCTTCAGCATAAGGTGGATGGGGATGAGGCCAGTGAGGGCCTCAAGACCACCTGTAGGTGAGGTGCGGAAAGCACCCGTGATCCATAGAGCAGCTTTTCGCTGCATCCGTTTCAGCTGGTTCATCGTGCCCTTATTGCGGGTGCCATTGAAATACCAGAGACGATAGCCGTATGTGGCAATAGGAACCACACAGGACCGATATAAGAGGCGGCGCTGTTTAGGTGAGAGACCTCTAGTAGAGTTCCCGAGCATGCGCATGGCCTGCACAGTGGTAAACACCTTGGTGGCGTAGTAGCGAACGTGCTCCTGGAACGTGAGCCCGCAGTCAAAGTAGAAGCCCAAGTACCTCCAATAGGTCTTGGGCTTCAAAGGTGTGGCACCAGTATGCGGGGCATACCCCAAGTCCAGCGAGGGATTGTAGGCATCTCGTCGACGCAAAAAGTAGAACACCTCGGTCTTGTCATGTTCAAGAACGAGTGCGAAAGCAACAAAGAGAAGGTAGATAATCTTGTAGGCCTTATGCAGGCCCACATTATTATCATCAAGTTGTTTGGATTGGGCCAGAATGATCCCATCATCCACAAAGGAGAGCAGCATCATGTTGAGCGGCGCCGCTTTGATATAGAAGAGCTTCATCACTGGAGCAATGAAAAGCCCATAGATAACAGGCGAGAGAGCTGAGCCCTGCCCGACACCCACGTCCGCAGACCGCGAGTCGGATTGAAAGGTGTTCCAACAGTAAACTGTGGACCGACCAACAAGATAGGACACAAAGAACTCCACTAAGATCGGCAAGAATCCTTGCTTGCGAAGACAGCCATGAACATAACCATGAGATGTTCATGGCTGTCCTTCGCAAGCAAGGATTCTTGCCGATCTTAGTGGAGTTCTTTGTGTCCTATCTTGTTGGTCGGTCCACAGTTTACTGTTGGAACACCTTTCAATCCGACTCGCGGTCTGCGGACGTGGGTGTCGGGCAGGGCTCAGCTCTCTCGCCTGTTATCTATGGGCTTTTCATTGCTCCAGTGATGAAGCTCTTCTATATCAAAGCGGCGCCGCTCAACATGATGCTGCTCTCCTTTGTGGATGATGGGATCATTCTGGCCCAATCCAAACAACTTGATGATAATAATGTGGGCCTGCATAAGGCCTACAAGATTATCTACCTTCTCTTTGTTGCTTTCGCACTCGTTCTTGAACATGACAAGACCGAGGTGTTCTACTTTTTGCGTCGACGAGATGCCTACAATCCCTCGCTGGACTTGGGGTATGCCCCGCATACTGGTGCCACACCTTTGAAGCCCAAGACCTATTGGAGGTACTTGGGCTTCTACTTTGACTGCGGGCTCACGTTCCAGGAGCACGTTCGCTACTACGCCACCAAGGCGTTTACCACCGTGCAGGCCATGCGCATGCTCGGAAACTCTACTAGAGGTCTTTCGCCTAAACAGCGCCGCCTCTTATACCGGTCGTGTGTGGTCCCCATTGCCACATACGGCTATCGTCTCTGGTATTTCAATGGCACCCGCAATAAGGGCACGATGAACCAGCTGAAACGGATGCAGCGAAAAGCTGCTCTATGGATCACGGGTGCTTTCCGCACCTCACCTACAGGCAGTCTTGAGGCCCTCGCTGGTCTCATTCCCGTTCATCTCATGCTGAAGAAGCTGGCTACGCGTGCAGTGTATCGCGTCGCCACCCTCTCAGACACTCACCCTCTTCGCTCCATGATGGGCGAGGGGCTCCTCAAACGGGCTGAACCTCACGCCCGCTCAGCCGCTTTGATGACCCCAGCTATGAGGGGGAAAGTCAAGAGCACTGTCATGGAGGTGGACGAGCGCGTCCACACCCTAACTGAGAGCTTCGAGCCTTGTGCGCCCGAAGCTCGCCCAGGCGATCGGCTACTGGACCGCTATGCGGACCGTCTCCATTTTGACGAGCGTGACCCTGCCCAGGATAGGCGCCCATATCTAGACGAGCTCATCGCAAAAGCGAGGGCCGACCCACTAACAGTACTGGCTGCAACTGATGGCTCTGTCCCTCAGTCCAACCAGTATCAGGCAGCTTCAGCTGCCATCATCTACAAGGGACACCGCGAGCTCGAAAGGACTCACTATGTCTCTGGCAGAGTTACCGCCCCAGATGCGGAACTCAATGCCATTGCGTGTGCAGTGCACCTTGCTGTCAAGCAAGCAAACTGCCAACATATCATGGTCTTTACTGACTCTATGGGCTTGGCCCATAGAGCGGTTGACCCCTCTGTGCATTCTGGTCAGGGTTTTAGCCTGTCAGTTTGTCGCGTTCTCCAAGAGTGGTTTGAGGCGGATGACCTCCGCTGCATCACCTTTGTCTACATTCCGTCCGCCCTGCGGTGGGACATCCACGGTGAGGCACATAAGTACGTCACCGAACTTAAAGTCAGGGTTGGACGTCGTAAGACGGACAACTCTATAGATGCGCTGCGCTCCTGAGCCGCGCACTCAGTCCTGGATTCGTGGAGCTCCACTTTCCAGGATCCAACCTACCGAGGCTCTGAATTCTTAGAGCTTCAACAGCCTGACGGGCGGCCGCTACAGCCATTGTACCTCAATGGGGGACCTTGGCTTTCAACATTCGGACACAGTATCACTGAGTTTGCCCGCCTTTGCCAGTGTATAACTGGCCACGCGCCCATTGGAGCGTATTACTGCCGCTTCAAGATCAACGAGCCTCATGGCTGCACTTGCGGGGCTGCTTTGCAGTCTCGCCAGCACGTCCTCTTTCGCTGTCGCGATCGCTACTCCATGCATTACCCCCGCTTTCTTGGGGATATTGCATCTTTTATGAAGTACAACCCCAAGGCGTTTGGCTTCAACTGGGACCCCTCAGGTGTCGGGTAATCGTTGCGGGCGGGGTTATTCCTCCTTTTGGGGGATTTATGGTGAATTGACACCCTCGGACCTTAGGGTTCGGAGACCTGCACCCGTTCCACTCTCTTGCGCTTGCGGCCGCTATTATAGCGTGTTGCGGCGCCGCTAACTTTCTGCGTCTGGTTTCGGGCAGGTGCATCTTTGGCTTGTCGGCCTAAAGACACCCTGCCACCTCCTGGGTGGTGCTGTTTTATTTCATTTGCGCTGCGTGGCCTCCGAACAGCGTCCAACGGCTTTGGGGTTTAGCGGGGCCTCGATGGTCTCCTCCCCTTATCCCGTGTCACCGTTTTCGCGAGGTGGGTCTGGCTTTATGGGAGTTTAGGCGTTTGAGCCATAAGGCTCGTGGTTGGGGGGGTGGACGTCTTTTAGTAGTTTACTTAGTACCCAGGCCGCGTAGTGTACGTGTTTGTAGATAGCGAGCGGGCTGCCATCGAGCACCGCTATATAAATTGTTGATCAAAAAAAAAAAAAAAAAAAAAAAAAGAACTGCGCGATGTCAAAAGCCAGCGCGCTAGTCTGGAGACCCTTAACCCACCCCACACACACGAGATGGATCAGAATCAATCCAGCGTCCTCAGTTGACCTTTGGCGAATGCCGGACTAGACTCAGATATGAAGGTCTTCTGCCAGCTTATATTGAAGGCTATACTCGCAATACAATTATTAGACAATTTCAAAGATGGAAAGAAGCTAACTATGTTCCAGATAAAGTTGATTCAGCTCTTCAATGGTCTGATCAGGATCCTCTTGATATGCCAGTTGTAACTGATAGTCCTTGGACTTTAATTGACAACAAGTCAACAAAATTAAAGTTGCTTCAGACAATTCCTGTAACTAATTTTGTACCTGCTAAAGGGAGCACTGCTTTAAAGCATAAAGCCAGTGAGAGTAATATTTCTAAGCCAAAGAAATCCAGACAAACTGTTGAAGAAAATAGCAACTCACCTCAAGGATTTATCTGGGATAATCAAGATTATAGCTGTCCATATGATAGTTTATTTAGCATTCTCTATAATCTCTGGCTTGAAAATTCTGATGAATGGACTGAGACATTATCAAGCATCAATGACTATACAAAGCTACTTATAGAAGGCTTTCAAGATGTTGTTCATAGTAATTCTACTCTAGAAGAGGCCAGAGACAGAGTACGAGAAGAGTTGTATTTTGTAAAGCCAGATAAATTTCCAAAGGGTAGAAATAATGCAAGTGTAGCTGAACTTGCCTTTGAATTATTTAAGACTGATAGTGAAGATGCACAAGTAGAAATATTCTGTAATAATTGTGACTATACTAGAATCTTTTCTGATACTATTGGATATGCTGCCAATCTTGAAGGATATCAAGTCTCAACATTGGATTTCAGATATAAAAGAAAGTTGTCAAGAGACTTGTCCTGAGTGTAGTAAGACTTTGATATACCAGAAAACTTATACTAAGATACCAAAAATATTAGTTCTTGAGTATCCATTCTGTAATATTAGGACAAGTCATAAGATAAAAATCAAAGTTAATAGAAAGACACATGTACTAAAATTAAAGGGAATGGTTTATCATGGTGATAATCATTTTGTATCAAGAATTGTAGGCAATGATGGAACAATCTGGTTTAATGATGGCATGACTACTGGTAGAGGGGCTGCAGTAGCTCAGGTGGCACTATTGCGGACTTACCCCCAGGCTTGCGTTGAGCTCTTGAGTTCGATTCTTGCTGGTTGCATGGATAAACACACTTTAGACACCATGTGACTTTTCCACGCCCCTGGATGACACCGTCTGGGCCTCTGTATTAGGGAGCGACTACGTCTCGCGTGTTCTAGACCCAAGGGTCTGGAGTGACCGTACCTATGCATGCTCACATAATGATATCAGGGTCACCTGGTTCTCCTTAGTCATCGAAAAAATGGCTATGCCAGGAAGGGAAAAAGGGAGCCAAGGGACAAGGTTGTGTGGATCTGCCGCTATGTGGCGAGACAGCTAGAGCCGACCCTTTGGGACAAGGTTCACATGATCTGCTGGAGCCTGCTGGGCGTTTCGGTGTGCTGACTTCCCAGAGTACGTAAAGCAAACCAGCAAGACAGCTAGAGCTGACCCCGAGGCGTTAATACCAAAGTACTGGAGGGTGGGAGTGAAACTACACGAAACGGCTAAAGTCGTCTCCTAACACGGACCGCCAAAGAACCGTGTGGCACGTGAATGATGGAACAAACCCAAACCCATAGGGAGGTTGTGTTGGATGCCGGTCACATGAACGGCTGCTTTCGGGAGCTAGGGTGTTACTATGTGCGAATATATGCAATCTTATGCTTAGGTATATCGAAGCCCTGATTAGTGTAAATAGTTACGGGATGTCATGTTAATTGGTATGATCACGGACACTTAAAGTATTACTTAGGTCACGCTGTTGATAGCCCAAGGATTGGATGTTCCCTTATGGTCATGTACGAAATGATCCTTGTAAATCAATAAAGAACCACTTTCACATGACTACTGGTAGACAATGTACAGAAGATGGGCACTTGACAACTATTACTGATACATCAGTTAGAACATATAATGATAAGAATTTTGTATTAGCAGTCTATGCTTAATTCAATAGCTATAATGGGTGGTGAGTGGGCATAATTTCATAGAATATTTCTGTAACTAATTACTTGCTTTACAAAATTAATCTATATCAATATTAATTATATTTCAGATAAAGCTACAAGAAGAAAGAAGGCCTCATACATGCCATGCGTAGCAATGGCCCACTAAAACAAGTGGAATCTTCCAGGTTCATAGTTGCTTGGCAGATTGCTATTCGCAATCATTGAAGTCATTGCTGCAACCCAATCAAAGCCATCAATATGACCATCTGTCGATCCAAATTCACCCATCCCTTCAAGACCCTTTTCTAAAACACACTCAGAATAAGCCTCTTAGATATCTAACACAAACTTACCAGTGCATTCTTCATAGCTTACAGCTGGTGCTATATTGAGTTGCATTGCAGGAAAGGCAAAGTTATCTTCAATACCAATCCTAGGTACGTTGTGGTAACGAGAATGTTCTTCCAGAATTTCTAGCATTTCAGCTGGTGCATACATTCTCATTGACATCATTGAGACTGTGGCACATAGCTGCCATAGATTTAACAAATTCAGACTTGTGTTCTTTTACAATCACAAAATCTTACCTTTGCAATTTTTTGACGGATTTTTTCATTTGGTGTCAGCTCTCCATTATAGATTTTACTACTAGCTGCAGGTCCCACAATGTTGGGTGAATGTTGGTGCGACATGCTTATACCAAAGCATCGTAAATCCTTCACACCAGGATCGATACCCCGGCGTTCAAAGCCAGTTCCTCCCACCAATACACCATTGATCATAATAGGCCTGTCCAGAGTGACCTGGCTTTTGTCCCCCATAATCTCATCACAGAGACGGAGGAGGTCCTCTCTGAGAGTCTGGTTGAGTAGCCTCATACTAAGATATATGGTGTCAGAATCATCTCTTAAAAGAAAAGAACATAATTTACCCATCAAAACACCATGCAACAATTAGATCCTTTTCAGATTCAACATTTCCAATAGGTCTAGCATATATAAAATAGTCCTGACAATTAGGTGTTAATGACTGAGACAAAAATAACAGCATAATTAGAGCATACTGTATCGTTTCATAAGGTTATCAGGTCCAAGAGGCACATATAATTTATTTTCCCAACTGTACATAGAGTGGAGGGCTTCATCAGATGTAGAGCTTCGAGCCCTTTGCGCCCGAAGCTCGCCCAAGCGATCGGTTACTGGACCGCTATGCGGACTGTCTCCACTTTGACGAATGCGATCCTACCCAGGATAGGCGACCATATCTAGACGAGCTCATCGCGAGAGCAAGGGCCGACCCACTAACAGTACTGGCTGCAACTGATGGCTCTGTCCCTCAGTCCAACCAGTATCAGGCAGCTTCAGCTGCCATTATCTACAAGGGACATCGCGAGCTCGAGAGGACTCGCTATGTCTCTGGCAGAGTTACCGCCCCAGATGCGGAACTCAATGCCATCTCGTGTGCAGTGCGCCTGGCTGTTAAGCAGGCAAACTGCCAACATATTATGGTCTTTACTGACTCTATGGGCTCGGCCCATAGAGCGGTTGACCCTGGTGTGCATTCTGGTCAGGCTTTTAGCCTGTCAGTTTGTCGCGTTCTTCAAGAGTGGTTTGAGGTGGACGATCTCCGTTGCATCACTTTTGTCTACGTCCCATCCGCTCTGCGGTGGGATATTCATGGTGAAGCACACAAGTACGTCACCGAGCTCAAAGTCAGGGTTGGCCGTTGTAAGACGGACAACTCTATAGATGTGCTTCGCTCTCGAGCTGCGCACTCAGTCCTGGATTCGTGGAATTCCACTTTCCAGGATCCAACTTACCGAGGCTCTGAATTCTTAGAGCTTCAACAGCCTGACGGGCGGCTGCTACAGCCATTGTACCTCAATGGGGGACCTTGGCTTTCAACCTTCGGACACAGTATCACTGAGTTTGCCCACATGTGCCGGTGTATAACTGGCCACGCGCCCATTGGAGCGTATTACCGTCGCTTCAAGATCAACAAGCCTCACGGCTGCACTTGCGGGGCTGCTCTGCAGTCCCATCAGCATATTCTCTTTCGCTGTCACGATCGCTACTCCGTGCATTACCCCCGCTTTCTTGGGGATATTGCATCGTTTATGAAGTACAACCCCACGGCATTTGGCTTCAACCGAGACCCCTCGGGTGTCGGATAATCGCTGTGGGCGGGGTTGTTCCTCCTTTTGGGGGATTTATGGTGAATTGACACCCTCGGACCTTAGGGTTCGGAGACCTGCACCTACCGCTATTTCTTTGCGCTTGCGGCCGCTATTGTAGCGGGTTGCGGCGCCGCTAACTTTCTGCGTTTGGTTTCGGGCAAGCGCTTCTCTGGCTTGTCGGCCTTAAGACACCCTGCCACCTCCCAGGTGGTGCTGTTCTTATTTCATTTGCGCTGCGTGGCCTCCGAACAGCGTTCGACGATTTTGGGGTTTAGTGGGGCCTCGATGGTCTCCTCCCCTTATCCCACGTCACCGTTTTCGTGAGGTGGGTCTGGCTTTGTGGGAGTTTAGGCGTTTGAGCCACAAGGCTCGCGGTTGGGGGGGCGGACGTCCTTTAGTGGTTAACTTAGTAACTGGGCTGTGTAGCGTACGTGTCTGTAGATAGCGAGCGGGCTGCCATCGAGCACCGCTATATAAATTGTTGATTTTAAATCAACAATTTATATAGCGGTGCTCGATGGCAGCCCGCTCGCTATCTACAGACACGTACGCTACACAGCCCAGTTACTAAGTTAACCACTAAAGGACGTCCGCCCCCCCAACCGCGAGCCTTGTGGCTCAAACGCCTAAACTCCCACAAAGCCAGACCCACCTCACGAAAACGGTGACGTGGGATAAGGGGAGGAGACCATCGAGGCCCCACTAAACCCCAAAATCGTCGAACGCTGTTCGGAGGCCACGCAGCGCAAATGAAATAAGAACAGCACCACCTGGGAGGTGGCAGGGTGTCTTAAGGCCGACAAGCCAGAGAAGCGCTTGCCCGAAACCAAACGCAGAAAGTTAGCGGCGCCGCAACCCGCTACAATAGCGGCCGCAAGCGCAAAGAAATAGCGGTAGGTGCAGGTCTCCGAACCCTAAGGTCCGAGGGTGTCAATTCACCATAAATCCCCCAAAAGGAGGAACAACCCCGCCCACAGCGATTATCCGACACCCGAGGGGTCTCGGTTGAAGCCAAATGCCGTGGGGTTGTACTTCATAAACGATGCAATATCCCCAAGAAAGCGGGGGTAATGCACGGAGTAGCGATCGTGACAGCGAAAGAGAATATGCTGATGGGACTGCAGAGCAGCCCCGCAAGTGCAGCCGTGAGGCTTGTTGATCTTGAAGCGACGGTAATACGCTCCAATGGGCGCGTGGCCAGTTATACACCGGCAAACGTGGGCAAACTCAGTGATACTGTGTCCGAAGGTTGAAAGCCAAGGTCCCCCATTGAGGTACGATGGCTGTAGCAGCCGCCCGTCAGGCTGTTGAAGCTCTAAGAATTCAGAGCCTCGGTAAGTTGGATCCTGGAAAGTGGAATTCCACGAATCCAGGACTGAGTGCGCAGCTCGAGAGCGAAGCACATCTATAGAGTTGTCCGTCTTACGACGGCCAACCCTGACTTTGAGCTCGGTGACGTACTTGTGTGCTTCACCATGAATATCCCACCGCAGAGCGGATGGGACGTAGACAAAAGTGATGCAACGGAGATCGTCCACCTCAAACCACTCTTGAAGAACGCGACAAACTGACAGGCTAAAAGCCTGACCAGAATGCACACCAGGGTCAACCGCTCTATGGGCCGAGCCCATAGAGTCAGTAAAGACCATAATATGTTGGCAGTTTGCCTGCTTAACAGCCAGGCGCACTGCACACGAGATGGCATTGAGTTCCGCATCTGGGGCGGTAACTCTGCCAGAGACATAGCGAGTCCTCTCGAGCTCGCGATGTCCCTTGTAGATAATGGCAGCTGAAGCTGCCTGATACTGGTTGGACTGAGGGACAGAGCCATCAGTTGCAGCCAGTACTGTTAGTGGGTCGGCCCTTGCTCTCGCGATGAGCTCGTCTAGATATGGACACCTATCCTGGGTAGGATCACATTCGTCAAAGTGGAGACGGTCCGCATAGCGGTCCAGTAACCGATCGCTTGGGCGAGCTTCAGGCGCAAAGGGCTCGAAGCTCTCAGTTAAGGTGTGGACGCGCTCGTCCACCTCCATGACGGTGCTCTTGACTTTCCCTCACATGGCTGGGGTCATCAAGGCGGCTGAGCGAGCATGTGGTGTGGCTCGCTTGAGGAGTCCCTCACCCATCGTAGAGCGAAGGGGGTGAGTGTCCGAGAGGGTGGCGACACGATACACTGCACGTGTTGCCAGCTTCTTCAGCATAAGGTGGACAGGGATGAGACCCGCTAGAGCCTCAAGACCGCCAGTGGGGGAGGTGCGGAAAGCACCCGTAATCCATAGAGCAGCTTTATGCTGCATCTGTTTCAACTGGTTCATCGCGCCCTTATTGCGGGCGCCATCAAAATACCAGAGACGATAGCCGTATGTGGCAATGGGGACCACACACGACCTGGTATAAGAGGCGGCGCTGTTTAGGCGAAAGACCTCTAGTAGAGTTTCCGAGCATGCGCATGGCCTGCACGGTGGTAAACGCCTTGGTGGCGTAGTAGCGAACGTGCTCCTGGAACGTGAGCCCGTGGTCAAAGTAGAAGCCCAAGTACCTCCAATAGGTCTTGGGCTTCAAAGGTGTGGCACCAGTATGTGGGGCATACCCCAAGTCCAGCGAGGGATTGTAGGCATCTCGTCGACACGAAAAGTGGAACAGCTCGGTCTTGTCATGTTCAAGAACGAGTGCGAAAGCAACAAAGAGTAGGTAGGTAATTTTGTAGGCCTTACGCAGGCCCACATTATTATCATCAAGTTGTTTGGATTGGGCAAGAATGGTCCCATCATCCACAAAGGAGAGCAGCGTCATGTTGAGCAGCGCCGCCTTGATGTAGAGGAGCTTCATTACCAGAGCAATGAACAGCCCAGAGATAACAAGCGAGAGAGCTGACCCCTGCCTGACACCCACGTCCGCAGAACACAAGTCGGATTGGAAGGTATTTCAACAATAAAATGTGGAACGACCAATGAGATAAGAGGCAAAGAACTCCACCAGAACTGGTGAGAACCCTTGCTTGCGAAGTACAGCCATGAACATCTCATGGTTGATAGAAGGGAAGAACTGCGCGATGTCGAAAGCCAGCGTGCTAGTCTGGAGACCCTTAACCCACCCCGCTCGCACGAGATGAGTCAGAATCAATCCAGCATCCTCAGTTGACCTCTGGCAGATGCCGCCAAGTTGGTTAGGGTGGAAGATATCATGCTTGACGGCGTCAAACTGTATCCTATTGGCAATCATCTTTTCAATAAGTTTACCGAAAGTGATGAGGAGTACTATCGGCCTGAAGGCCTTTGGTATGGCGTAGGAGGGCTTGTTCGGTTTCGGAACGATAACCGATAGCGACTCCTTGAATATACGCGGCCAATGACCCACCCGAAGGCAAGCGTTGGCCAGCACAATGAAGAGCGCAAGGACGTGTTTATCCTTGAGCAACTCCTTTAGGTGGACCCATGTAACATGGTCCGGTCCTGGTGCAGAGGAGTTGGAACACCCCTTAAGGGCACTCAACAACTCATGCTCTGAGAAGTCAGCCCACTCACGGACCGGCTCATCAGGAAGCTCATCTAAGACGGAGGCATCGTACTCGTGACCAGAGGCCAAGTTGTACGTGCCGTGCAGGGTGTCCCAGAGGTCGTCCATATCATGGCAAGGCTGATGGCCGTGGCGAATAGCCTCACAGGGTGGTAGCTTGCGCTGTTTGACCCACTCCATCAGGTCCCATGGGCGCTTGCGAGAAGTAGCAATTTCTGCGATGCGTTCATCAAAGAAATCACGCTTGGCATCTTTATACACCTTCTTAAACTTGTTGTAGTCAGCGAGCAAGCAGCTCAACTGATATACTCTGAATGTCTCTGAGCACTCGTCCGTCCACCAGGACTTGGAGTGCTTGGTAGGTTTGGACTTGGTCGAATGGGCAAGCCACGTGTCCGAGAACGCTGTCGCGATAGCATCGGCTAAACCTTCAACGCCTTCCTTGGTTGCCGGGGCTGCGACAGGAATAGCCGCAAGATCCCGGAGGATATCCGAAATGAAAGACTTTTCAGCCTCACCTCTGGGTTTAATTGTCCGTCGCCCAGATCCGGGCGGTTCGGGACCGATATCAAGATCTGCGCAGATCGGGACATGATCTGACGGACCCTGGAGACCGTGCTCCAATCTGGGCATCAAGATTAGAATCTCAGATGGAGCTAAGAATACAAGATCCAACACGTTGGATCTCTGGTTTGGATTAGGACTGATCCACGTCAGTCCATGGTTAGAAGGTCGTGCCCACTCGAGGCCGATCTGAGATGCAGTATCCCACAGAGATATTGCTGTCGACGACTCGCCATGCTCATAGTCATTCCAAGTTGTCAACACACAGTTGAAGTCACCAGCCATATAAATGAAAGGTGGTAAAGAGTGCACACGAGCAGCGAGGTGCTCAATGGCTGTGTGTTGATCGTCAGAATAGACATTCATTAGGTTAAGAACCTCACCCCCACTAAAGAGGGAGAGGACAAGGATGTCGCGACGCATAGCGGGACGATAGCGGGATAGCCTAGTCGAAACATAGGCGATCACGCGGGGAACTTCCCCTTCCTTAATGCGCACCATTTGCAGCCAATCAGGATGCTTTGGTGCGCCGATAACCTCATCGCCCTCCATAGTAGTGGTGGACGGTGCGTGCCTTATGAAATTCCAAGGGGTTTCTTGGAAAAATAGAATATCAAATCTGTTTTTACAAATTTCGAGAAGAGTGTCTACATGTGCATATGTGTGATGAATGTTCTGACAAAAAATACAAAGTCCACTACTTAGATCCTGTAGGTTTCCCAACATTAGTCTAGGTTTGGGGGTTAGTAAGTTGGCGGCGAGCAGCATGCTCACGTACCTGACGATACTCAGCCATGATCCACTCACGGTCGTAGTGGTGGGCCCAGAACTTGCACGACGCTGAGTTGGTGGCGTGGTCCTTGTGGCAATTGACACAGCGGCCCTTGTGGGGGCAAGGCTGGTCGCGAGGGGTGGGCGGCACAGGAGGCTTTGCTTTCGCGTTGCCCTTGCAACATCCCGCATGTTGACGGTGCTCCTTCTGCTTGTGCGGACCTGAGCAGATAGGGCAGGAGAGTTGTTTCGCCTTGCAGGCGACGGTGGGGTGGCCCCACTTCCAGCAGCGCTGGCAGAGCGGGACCCCGGTGTGTTGTGCGGCCAGCCTGATTGCGCAGGACCGCCCGGCAAGGAAGATTGGTTGGCCTAAGGCCTTCTTGGCACGGGTTCCCTGCTGGGAGTCCCAGATGTTGCAATAGACGGTGCACGATGTCGAGTGCGCCGAATTGCGATCGATCCGAGGCTTGGTGCTCAGATAGGCGAAGACCTCAGCGTGAACCGAGGTATGGAGGGCCTTTTCAAGCGCCTCCTGGGTGATCTTCAACCCTTTCGGATCGAAATAAGGAACATCGAGGATCTTTATGAAAGATGTCGACGATGGGAGCGCGACCTCGAACGGAGTACCCATTGGGAGGCTTTTGCAGATGAAGTTGCGCAGGATGTCCAGATCGGACGGGCTGGCAACAGCGGGGGTGACCAACGACAAACCGTCGTAGGCGCGAACGATGGAGGTGACCTTCAACATAGATTGACCATCCCTTAAGTACCCGTTGGCTGCACGGACAGCCGACTCGGTGAAGAATTTCGTGAGGTTGGGAGGGGTACCCCCGAACGACACAAGAACCTGCTTCCGGGTGGGGTCCTCGGAAGTAAAAGAAGGAATGGACCAATGAGGTGAAGTCTTCATCAGGCCCATTGGGAATGCAGGGGGAGGAGGAGAAGGCCCGCGGCGCTGCGGTCCCAAGCCAGGAGGCGGGGGAGGCATCCGAGCGGCCTGTCGTGCGATCCCTGCCCACGTCGTTGGACAGGGCTTGGGTTTGGTGGCGCGGTTGATCGGCGGAGGCGGACCAGGGCGAGAGTAGGCCACCTTGCTCTTCTTCTGAGGAGGAGGTGGGACCGGACGATCGACACCCTTGCACTTCTTGGAAGCAGGGATGCGAGGCGGGGAGGCCGGGCGACCAAGGTCGTCCAATGCCTGCATGAGGACATCGGGTGGAGCCCCTATGCCAGCGACACCCTCATCGAGCAGCCCATGGGCAGCAGGAGGGGAGGCCTGAAAACGGGAGCCGGGTGGATGGTCAGCTCGTCCTTAGAAGATGTCTCGGCCTGGCTGCACTTGCGGGGCTGCTTTGCAGTCCCGCCAGCATATCCTCTTTCGCTGTCACGACAGATATTCTGTACACTATCCCCGTTTTCTCGGGGATATTGCATCGTTTATGAAGTACAACCCTACGGCGTTTGGCTTCAACCGGGACCCGTTCGGGTGTCGGATAATCGTGGTGGGCGGGGTTGTTCCTCCTTTCGGGGGATTTATGGTGAATTGACACCACCGAGCTCTAGGGTTCGAAGACCTGCGCCTACCGCTATTTCTTCGCGCTTGCGGCCGCTATTGTAGCGGGTTGCGGCGCCGCTAATTTTCTGCGTCTGGTTTCGGGCAGGCGCCTCTCTGGCTTGTCGGCCTTAAGACACCCTGCCACCTCCCGGGTGGTGCTGTTCTTATTTCATTTGCGCTGCATGGCCTCCGAACAGCGATCGACGACTTTGGGGCGTAGCGGAACCTCGATGGTTTCCTCCCCTTATCCCGATGCACCGTTTTCGCGAGGTGGGTTGCCCTCTGGGGAGTTTCGGCGTTTGAGCCCAAAGGGTCTTGGTTGGGGGGGCGGTCGTCCTTTAGTGGTTTACTTAGTAACCAGGCTGCGTAGCGTACGTGTTTGTAGATAGCAAGCGGGCTGCCACCGAGCACCGCTATATAAATTGTTGATCAAAAAAAAAAAAAAAAAAAAAAAAAAAAAAAAAGATGTCTCGGCCTCAAGGAGAGAGGCGAGCGAGAAGTTGTCGAGTTTGCCTGGTCCGCGAATATGACTAAAGTCAGTGGCCATGACGGCGTTCACAAAGGACGTCATCTGGGCCACGAAGGCATCGCCCCCATCGATGGTGAGCGGATTGTGGTGCGCGGCCCGCAGAACCCAGTCTGTGGCCTTCGCAATGGAGGTGGTCAATACCTTGAGATCGCCAGGAAGATCCTCGACAGTGTCTCGGAACTTCAAGGCGTATTGACCCAGAAGAAGGTCGACGGAGGGGTCCCTCGAGACCTCCTCCCCTCCCTGGATGCCCTCTACCTCCATCTCCTGGGGGTGGGCCGTCCTTGAGTCAGACTCATCTGCGGACAAATGGGCGGAACCCGTGGTGGACCGGGACCTGCGGCGGGGCGATGTGTGGCGAGATCGAGCTGGCACGACTGTCGAGTATGTGGCCCTAGTCGAGGTAGGGTCTGGCAAGATTGGCGAGGCATCACTGCCAAAGGACGATGAGCCAGCGACTGATGGTGGTATTGCTGGTGGGGCAGAGCCCGAGTCCCCCCCACGACGGCTCCTAGGAACCGCCCCGGGGGGCCTCGCACCCCGACCTCTCGGTGGGAGGTCAGACATGGTTTTTGAATGCGGTGCGAACGATCAAAAGAGGTCTTCTGGCTTGTCGATAAAGCGCTAGACGATGTGCGAGACGGTGAGCTGGTTGTTTGCACTTGTTGACAAGTGGGCATTCGAGAGAAAGAGGTTGAACCATGAGATGTTCATGGCTGTACTTCGCAAGCAAGGGTTCTCGCCATTTCTGGTGGAGTTCTTTGCCTCCTATCTTGTTGGTCGTTCCACAGTATACTGTTGGAACACCTTCCAATCCGACTCACGGTCTGCGGACGTGGGTGTCAGGCAGGGCTCAGCTCTCTTGCCTGTTATCTATGGGCTTTTCATTGCTCTGGTGATGAAGCTCTTCTATATCAAAGCGGCGCCGCTCAACACAACACTGCTTTCCTTTGTGGATGACGGGACCATTCTGGCCCAATCCAAACAACTTGATGATAATAATGTGGGCCTGCATAAGGCCTACAAGATTATCTACCTGCTTTTTGCTGCCTTCGCACTCGTGCTTGAACACGACAAGACCGAGCTGTTCCACTTTTCACATCGACGAGACGCTTACAATCCCTTGCTGGATTTGGGGTACGCCCCGCATACCGGCGCTACACCTTTGAAGCCCAAGACCTACTGGAGGTACCTGGGCTTCTACTTTGACCGCAGGCTCACATTTCATGAGCACGTCCGCTACTATGCCACTAAGGCGTTCACCACCGTGCAGGCCATGCGCATGCTCGGTAACTCCACTAGAGGTCTTTCGCCTAAACAGCGCCGACTCCTATACCGGTCGTGTGTGGTTCCCATTGCCACATATGGCTATCGTCTATGGTATTTCGATGGCGCCCGCAATAAGGGCACGATGAACCAGCTGAAACGGATGCAGCGAAAAGCTGCTCTATGGATCACGGGTGCTTTCCGCACCTCACCTACAGGCGGTCTTGAGGCCCTTGCTGGTCTCATCCCTGTTCATCTCATGCTGAAGAAGCTAGCGACACGCGCAGTGTATCGCGTCGCTACCCTCTCAGACACTCACCCTCTTCGCTCCATGATGGGCGAGGGACTCCTTAAGCGAGCTGCACCACATGCCCGCTCAGCCGCCTTGATGACCCCAGCTATGTGAGGGAAAGTCAAGAGCACAGTTATGGAGGTGGATGAACGCGTCCACACCTTAACTGAGAGCTTCGAGCCCTTTGCGCCCGAAGCTCGCCCAGGTGATCGGTTACTGGACCGCTATGCGGACCGTCTCCACTTTGACGAGCGCGATCCCGCCCAGGATAGGCAACCATATCTAGACGAGCTCATTGCGAAAGCGAGGGCTGACCCATTGACAGTACTGGCTGCAACTGATGGCTCTGTCCCTCAGTCCTATCAGTATCAGGCAGCTTCGGCTGCCATCATCTACAAGGGACACCGCGAGCTTGAAAGGACTCGTTATGTCTCTGGCAGAGTCACCGCCCCAGATGCGGAACTCAATGCCATCTTGTGTGCAGTGCGCCTTGCTGTCAAGCAGGCAAACTGCCAACATATTATGGTCTTTACTGACTCTATGGGCTCGGCCCACAGAGCGGTTGACCCTTCCGTGCACTCTGGTCAGGCTTTTAGCCTGTCAGTTTGTCGCACTCTTCAAGGGTGGTTTGAGGCAGATGATCTCCGCCGCATTACCTTTATCTACGTTCCCTCTGCTTTGTGGTGGGACATCCATGGTGAGGCACACAAGTACGTCACTGAACTCAAAGTCAGGGTTGGACATCGCAAGACGGACAACTCTATGGACGCGCTCCGCTCCAAAGCCGCGCACTCAGTCCTGGATTCATGGAATTCCACTTTCCAGGATCCAACTTACCGAGGCTCTGAATTTTTAGAGCTTCAACAGCCTGACGGGCGGCCGCTACAGCCATCGTACCTCAATGGGGGACCTTGGCTTTCAACCTTCGGACACAGTATTACTGAGTTCGCCCGTGTTTGCCAGTGTACTGGCCACGCGCCCATTGGAGCGTATTACCGTCGCTTCAAGATCAACGAGCCTCATGGCTGCACTTGCGGGGCTGCTCTGCAGTCCCGTCAGCATATTCTCTTTCGCTGTCGCGATCGCTACTCCATGCATTACCCCCGCTTTCTTGGGGATATTGCATCTTTTATGAAGTACAACCCCACAGCGTTTGGCTTCAACCGGGACCCTTCGGGTGTCAGATAATCATTGTGGGTGGGGTTGTTCCTCCTTTCGGGGGATTTATGGTGAATTGACACCACTGAGCTCTAGGGTTCGAAGACCTGCGCCCGCCGCTATTTCTTCGCGCTTGCGGCCGCTATTATAGCGGATTGCGGTGCCGCTAACTTTCTGCGTCTGGTTTCGGGCAGGCACTTCTCTGGCTTGTCGGCCTTAAGACACCCTGCCACCTCCCGGGTGGTGCTCTCTTATTTCATTTGCGCTGCGTGGCCTCCAAACAGCATCCGACAGCTTTGGGGTTTAGCGGGGCCTCGATGGTCTCCTCTCCTTATCCCCTGTCACCGTTTTTGCGAGGTGGGTCTGGCTTTATGGGAGTTTAGGCGTTTGAGCCATAAGGCTCGTGGTTGGGGGGGCAGACGTCTTTTAGTAGTTTACTTAGTACCCAGGCCGCGTAGCGTATGTGTTTGTAGATAGTGAGCGGGCTGCCATCGAGCACCGCTATACAAGTTGTTGATCAAAAAAATAATAATAATAATATTCAAGGCCACATACCTCATCCACCTTTGCATTTGCATCAGTCTCAAAGTCCTCTTCTAGAGCTGTTGCAACCATGCGAGTTGACTCGTGCACAAAAGCCTGCCAAATCTGCGGTCTCCCTAGTACCACCTTGGTAGTCACATTACCAAAGCTGTCATTCCAGAATTGAGTGTAGGCATTGGCAGATGCATGAAAGTTGTATGTTGCACTGAGAACTGCCTTTGAGAAAACTCGATCCACCCAAAGAGTTTGGCCAATCTTGAGATAACGAGCTGAGTTGAGATGAATCTCCCGTTGTTGATTGTAGACCGGAGAAGGAAAGTCCTTGTGGTCAGGATAGTAGTGGGTTTTACAGACAGTACACTCTCCAGGAACAACATAAGCATTGTTGGAGACTGTAGTCCCTATGATCAAAGTGACCTTAGGAATATCTCGAACCCAACTAAACACAGAGATATGATGAGGTTGACAGGCAGGGGTTGTACAAGCCATGTGTAAAGGACCAAGTATTTGAACTGGTGCGATTGAATCCTGAGAAACCTGACTAATCTTGCATCTAAGGGTCCCATTAGGCTTGTAAGGTGTTAAGCCCAAGAAAACTGTAAGCTTGTCCAAGCGTTTGGCAAACCCAGTGTCTGAAGCATCCATCTGCTGTACAACTTGCCCTAGATTACCCTTCAACTGAGCACCTAATGCACGAGCTAGAGTTTTTTTTTCTTTTTTTTTTTTTTTTTTCTTGATCAACAATTTATATAGCGGTGCTTGATGGCAGCCCGCTTGCTATCTACAAACACATACACTACCCAGCCTGGTTACTAGGTTAACTACTAAAAGACATCCGCCCCCCCAACTGCGAGCCTTGTGGCTCAAACACCTAAACTCCCACAAAGCCAGACCCACCTTGTGAAAACGGTGATGCGGGATAAGGGGAAGAGACCATCGAGGCCCTGCTAAACCCCAAAGCCGTCGAACGCTGTTCGGAGGCCACGCAGCGCAAATGAAAATAAGAGAGCACCACCTGGGAGGTGGCAGGGTGTCTTGAGGCCAACAAGCCAGAGATGCGCCTGCCCGAAACCAGACGCAAAAAGTTAGCGGAGCTGCAATCTGCTATAATAGCGGCCGCAAGCGCGAAAGAGTGAAACGGGCGCAGGTCTCTGAACCCTAAGGTCCGAGGGTGTCAATTCACCGATAAATCCTCCAAAAGGAGGAATAACCCCGCTTGACACCCGAGGGCTGATGAAGCCCGCTGTAGGTTGTACTTCATAAACGATGCAATATCCCCGAGAAAACAGGGATAGTGTACAGAATATCTATCGTGACAGCGAAAGAGGATGTGCTGATGGGACTGCAAAGCAGCCCCGCAAGTGCAGCCATGAGGCTGATTGATTTTGAAGCGTGGATAGTATGCTCCAATGGGCGCGTGGCCAGTTATACACTGGCAAAGGCGGGCAAACTCAGTGATACTGTGTCCGAAAGTTGAAAGCCAAGGTCCCCCATTGAGGTACGATGGCTGTAGCGGCCGCCCGTCAGGCTGTTGAAGCTCTAAAAACTCAGAGCCCCGGTAGGTTGGATCTTGGAAAGTGGAACTCCACGAATCCAAGACTGAGTGCGCGGCTCGAGAGCGTAGCGCGTCTATGGAGTTGTCCGTCTTACGACGTCCAACCCTGACTTTAAGCTCTGTGACGTACTTGTGTGCCTCACCATGGATGTCCCACCGCAGAGCAGAAGGGACGTAAACGAAGGTTACGCAACGGAGATCGTCCGCCTCAAACCACTCTTTAAGAATGCGACAAACTGACAGGCTGAAAGCCTGACCAGAATGCACGCCGGGGTCGACCGCTCTATGGGCTGAGCCCATAGAGTCAGTAAAGACCATAATATGTTGGCAGTTTGCCTGCTTGACAGCAAGGCGCACTGCGCACGAAATGGCATTGAGCTCCGCATCAGGGGCGGTAACTCTGCCAGAGACATAGCGCGTCCTTTCGAGCTCGCGATGTCCCTTGTAGATTATAGCAGCCGAAGCCGCTTGATACTGGTTGGACTGAGGGACAGAGCCATCAGTTGCAGCCAGTACTGTTAGTGGGTCGGCCCTCGCTTTCGCGATGAGCTCGTCTAGATATGGTCACCTATCCTGGGTAGGATCGCGTTCGTCAAAGCGGAGACGGTCCGCATAGCGGTCCAGTAACCGATCGCCTGGGCGAGCTTCAGGCGCAAAGGGCTCGAAGCTCTCAGTTAAGGTGTGGACACGCTTGTCCACCTCCATGACAGTGCTCTTGACTTTCCCGCGCATAGCTGGGGTCATCAAGGCGGCAGAGCGAGCATGTGGTGCAGCTCGCTTGAGGAGTCCCTCGCCCATCATAGAGCGAAGGGGGTGGGTGTCGGAGAGGGTGGCTACGCGATACACTGCGCGCGTCGCCAGCTTCTTCAGCATAAGGTGGACGGGGATGAGACCTGCTAAGGCCTCAAGACCGCCTGTGGGTGAGGTGCGGAAAGCACCCGTGATCCATAGAGCAGCTTTTCGCTGCATCTGTTTCAGCTGGTTCATCGCACCCTTGTTACGGGCGCCATCGAAATACCAGAGACGATAACTGTATGTGGCAATAGGGACCACACACGATCGATATAAGAGGCGGCGCTGTTTAGGCGAGAGACCTCTAGTAGAGTTCCCGAGCATGCGCATGGCTTGCACGGTGGTAAACGCCTTGGTGGCGTAGTAGCGAACGTGCTCATGGAAGGTGAGCCCGCGGTCAAAGTAGAAGCCCAAGTACCTCCAATAGGTCTTAGGTTTCAAAGGTGTGGCGCCGGTATGAGGGGCGTACCCCAAATCCAGCGAGGGATTGTAGGCGTCTCGTCGACGCGAAAAGTGAAACAGCTCGGTCTTGTCGTGTTCAAGAACGAGCGTGAAAGCAACAAAGAGAAGGTAGATAATTTTGTAGGCCTTACGCAGGCCCACATTATTATCATCAAGTTGTTTGGATTGGGCCAGAATGGTCCCATCATCCACAAAGGAAAGCAGCGTCAT